GTTCAAGATTGCATTCTCTCCATGGTGGACCTCAGGGGCCAATAGACTTCGTTTGCAAAGTGAGGGTATGGAGCCATTCATTGTAAGGTATGGTTGGGGGGGCATAGGCAGACTTGGCTTCAAATCCTGGAGCTGCGTTAGGCAGCCTGTGATTGGTGTCACCTCTCCCTAGCCTCAGTTTCTTCATGTTTACACCTGAAGGGACATGGGGACCATAGCCCGTGAAGCCATTAGAGTTTCAGCAGGTGCCAACATGACAACCACCGAGCACATGTTCTGGTAAATGGGAGAAAACATCTACATTTTAGTTTATGTTCTGCTCCTTCTAACTCTAATGCTTGATATATTTTGTTCTTTTCTCCTTTTTATTCTGGCTTTTTTCACCTATTTTACTCAACTTAGTGGGTGGTACTACTAATGTTATTCACATAGTTTGAGTTTCGTGGGAAGAGAAGAATTACTAGCACTTATAGACCAGGCTTTCTTTTGGATTAGAAATACAAACTTCACAGCTACTCTGCCCAGCTTTTCAGCAGCATTTGATGGTATACTGCTGGGTAACAAGTTCATTTTAGGATAACACGCTGGGAGGAAAAAAGAAGGAGGGATTTGAGGGGAGAAAATTAAAAAGTTAATTAAAAGAAACAACTCGGTAATTGAATTCTCTTGCACATTTCTTTGCTTATTTGGAGGGGGGTGTCACAGTGCATGGTTAGCAAGGTTGTCTTTGTAGCTCACCTCAAAACTCCTAAATGAGATAAGTAAAAGAGTACAGAGCCAATCCCTGCCTATTAAATGAGAAGAGGCGTAGGTTACATATGGTAGGTTTTTAGATGTGCCAAACAAAGCTGCCCTCCTACTCATTCTTGAGTATTTTTGTTTTTAAATATCCTTGGCAGCTTACATTACTGTTAGGCTAAGTCCTGGACTCATATCTGCTATTTTATGGACATGCAAAATCTCTTTTGCATTTAGTCTGTTTTATTGGCTATTTATTTGGCCTCACTCTGTATCCAAACGCCCACCCCCAACCCTCCACATACACACAGGCACACAATCAGTAAACAATGTAGGTGACTCTTGTGTCCTTTTCAGGTTGTACTCCAGTAAAAAGTGGCATGGGTGTGTTTACTTAATTTAAAACGAGCTCCTTATTTTTATAAGAAGCCTGAATATCTATGTCATTATGTTTATCACAGATCACTTTAGAGTTAAAATAATTTACTTAGGCTGTGAGTGAGAGCGAGAAGGTCCTGTAATGAATTAGCATGGGCTTTGGAATCAGCTGGAGCCCCATTCCAACCCTAACTCTCATTAACAACATTTATTAACTCATGTAGTCAACATGTATTGATTGAATGCCTACTGTGTGCCAGGTACTGTTGAAGTTGCTGGTGATATTTATAGTCAAGTTCTGCCATAAGTTTTATTAACAGCAACTTTTTTGAGGTTTTGAAAATTAACTTTAGAGAGAAACTCTAAAAAGAATATTTTTCAACATTTTGGGTTTCTCATTCTTGCAACAAATCCATTCTGGAAAATAGAACAGGGTTTAATAATGTATTATCACCTTACCAAGTTAGTCTCAATCAGGTTGCTGACTGTAAACCCACTCTCCAAAGCAATCTCCAAAATATAAGATTTACTATTTTATTAAAAAAAATTTAAATATGCTTTTATTGATTTCAGAGAGGAAGGGAGAAGGAGAGAGAGATAAAAACATCAATGATGAGAAAGAAGCCTTGATCAGGTGCCTCCTGCATGGCCCCCATTGGGGATCAAGCCCACAACCCAGGTATGTGCCCTGACTGGCATCAAACCATGACCTCCTGGTTCATAGGTTGAGGCTCAACCACTGAGCCACTAGCCATGCTGGCTTGGGCTAAGAATTTATTTAAATCAGAAGTTTTTCTTCTATAACAGCTCCAGCATTCCATCCCTTCATGGAAAATAGGTACCCCCAGAATGATGTACACAGACTTCTTCTATGTAGACCAGTGGTTCTCAACCTTGGCTGCACATTAGAATCACCTGGGAATTTTTTTAAAATCCTGATTTCTGGCTTCATCCTCCAGAAATTCTGTTTCTTTGTTACTAATGTTGTGGCCTCACCCATAACAAAGAAACAGAATTCCCGGAGGATGAGGCCCAGAAATCAGGATTTTAAAAGATTCCCAGGTGATCCGAATGTGCAGCCAAGGTTGCGAACCACTGCTGTAGACCCTGCTAGGTTGCAAATTAACCGCTGAGGGAGACCAGGAGCACCTGGCTGACTTTTGCTTGCCCACAGACACGTGAGTGGAGATAAAGATGTTCTCGGTTCCCCCAATCAGAGAGTGAGCGCCCGGGAGCACGTGGGCCCAGGGGAAAGTGGGCTGGGAAGCACGTGGGGCTGCCAAGAAAAAGGCTGCTGGGTCCGGGCCGACACAGCCTTCAGGTGCCGCTGCTAGATGCCCACCGCGTTTGTTTTCATGATATTGTGATTTTCCCCAGACACGGTAAGGACCAGAGATGGAGAGCGTTTATGCAAGTGAGAGCCCCAACACGCATTCCCTCGGTGTGGAGGCGAGCCAGCTACTTGCGAGTGCTAACAGGGGTTTTGTGTTTCCGCAGGTTACGGTTTTGTGGATTTTGACAGTCCCGCAGCCGCCCAGAAAGCGGTAGCGTCTCTCAAGGCCAATGGGGTGCAGGCACAGATGGCCAAGGTAAGACTGGGGGGTTTTAGGTTGTTTGCTTTGTGATCATATATATTTCTCCATCGCTGGCAGCCGAATCCGAATTGCAGTTTGCAACAATTTGGATGGTATTTACTTGGTAGGGAAAAGAAGGAACCCTACAGTAAGTTTGGCTTAGAAGACTCTGGCTGGTTTAGTTGTTTTTTTTCGAGTATGTTTATTTGTGTGCTCTTTTGGTATGGTAACGTTACTGGTGACTTAAGGGCACTGTGGGGTGCTCTGGTTTGCCTGAAAAAGGTAGTGGGGGTTCTAATTAAAATTTTATTTATGACATTAAAAATAAAAGGTAGTGTGTGTGTGTGTGTGTGGTGTGTTTGTGTGTGTCGTGGACTTTCATCAGGAAATAGTATTGGAGTAGTCCAGTACACAGCTAGTTGTCTTTGATAAACAGTGTGAGAAAAATTGCTGTCTCATGTTGGGTAGAGCTGATTGCTGAATGATGATGATGTTTCTTCTGTGCAAGGAACTGAGGTTAACCAACGGGTTTGTTGTCTGTTTGGCTAGGATTTCATGTTGGCCTTTGTAGAGTTTAACTAGATGATAATTTCCAAGGTTTCAATAATTTTCAACACTCATTTATTGGTATGTAGAACAAATAGTCTGGAACTTCCTTATCTGAAATGATAATGCATTTTTATATTCAAGAAAATAAATAAAACAAAATATAATAGTTTTGTATCCTGATCGCAGTGATAGTAATAAGGATCTACAGGTGTGATAAAATGACACAAAACAATACACACATATTATACTAATATCAATTTCTTGGTTTTGATATTGTACTATTATTACATAATATGTAATATTGGGGAAACAGGGTGAGAGGTACATGGGATTCTCTATCAGTGGTTCTCAATCTGTGAGTTGCGACCCCTTTGGCGGTCGAATGGCCCTTTCACGGGGGTCACCTAAGACCATCCTTAATATCAGATATTTACATTACAATTCATAACAGTAGCAACATTGCAGTTATGAAGTAGCAACAAAAATAATGTTATGGTTGGGTCACAACATGAGGAACTAACTGTATTTAAAGGGCCAGAAGATTGAGAACCACTGCTCAATATGTTCTTTCCACAGTCTGTAAATCTGTATTTCCAACTAAATTTTTAAAAAATTTTATGACATAAAGATGTTTGGTACATATTTACTTCAGAATAATAGTCATTTTGTATTTGTTTTACATGCAACTTAAGTTTTAAAATATTTTTTCTGATTTTTACTGTTTGAGTTTGTTTATCTCTAATTCTCAAAGGTTAGGTAGAAGAGCCAGCAGATCTTGAAATGCATTTATGTCGTCTGCATGTATACGCACACTCTTAATTATTGCCATAACAGCTGAGTGATATAATGACAGAGTCATCAAATTTTCAGTCATTGGAATTTTGTGAGGATGGCTAACATTCACTGAGAACATTTTGCATTGTTTAAGTTCAGATAACTAGACTTGGGATATTTGGTTTTCTTCATCTTCGGTTGTCTTCTAGCAAACTGATACCATCAATATCTGTTAACCTTTTGTTGTGGGTCACTGCACATATAGATTACTTTGATAGACTCATTGCTCTTTATGACTCATTAATTGTTTTCAAGGCAATATAAATTAGAGTTTGAATTCTTTCAGCTGTGTAATGTATTCCTCATCTGGATTATGCATGGAAGCTTTGAATTTGGTCACAAGCTAAGATTGATGAAGTTAATATTTGCAATTAATAAGAAAATTATGTACATGTCTTGGTTTAAAACTTACTTGGCAAAGAATTAAGTTACTTGGCGACTGAAGCAGTGACTTACACCTAGGAAACAAGTGATAAAACTGTAGGTGTTAGGTATATGCAAAATTGGGACCTAAAGGAAACACTTATTTACAAGAAATTTACAAATGCTTATAAAAATTGTATATTTGATCAATTTTATTGATAAACTACCAAATTTTGGAAATTACTAGTTTGTGACAATTTAGAAATAATGAATACAGTGTGCATAATCTCCAGTTTTCAAATGGTCTGAGAATACATATGTGGTATTTATTGGATCAACAGAAAAAGAAAGTTGCCATTAATTTTATAACTACCGAGGAGCCATTGTGAATATTTCCCCTCTTTTTCTCAGCATTCTACTGCACAAGAAATCTATTCTCTCTCTCTCTCTCTCTCTCTCTCTCTCTCTCTCTCTCTCTCTCTCTCTCCCCCTTCCCTCTCTCTTTCTTTCACACACAGACACATACCCATCTCCATCACTGACATCTCAGCTAAGCAGGAAATTATCAAAGAGAAAATATTTTAAGGAGTTTCTAAGGAAATTATTTAGGAGAGCTAGCATTTTGGTTCGTAGCTCATGCCCAATGTACACAGTAAGGAGGTTCCACCTGGAATGTTTAAAGACATTGTTTCTTTTATTTCATTATTTTATTTTACTTATAGAGTTGCTGAAAGATTTCTACTTTACCAATTATGCTGTCTGTGGAATAAATTCTTATTCCCCTTTTTCTCACAAACTTTGGATCTAAAGCCCAGAGCTCTGGGCTTTAGATCCACATCTGCCTACTGGAAAACTTTCAGCAGTAAATGACTGTAATTTAACTACCCAGAAGCAAATAAATGGCCTCCCTTTGACAATGAAATGGAACAAGCTTGACCACCTGTATTAGCAGATTTCTCACTGAGCTATTGGATTTCATGGCATTTTTTCCCTTTGTCCTGGTGAAAGCTATTATTTATTATCATATAAACCTGCAGTCTGCAGGGTGTGTGAGACTGCACTATATTTTTTTGCCATTTAAGTGTCCAGTGAATTGCCTCCTGCATCCTTGTTCTTATCAATATCCTACTATGCAGGCTGTGATGGTACACCTCCTGGATTTTAAAGCAAAAATGCTGCAAATAATCTAGGTTCCCAATAGGAACCTAGAGTGAGCATGAAACCTTCCAAGTGAATCACTTTATTTAGCTAACTTATTCCAATGTCTGCATATGAAAAATTCAACCAATTTGTCAACAAATAGGAATTAAATAATAAATCATCCAGTACGTGGTAATTGATTAATAATGTATAACCATTAACATGGACTAACATTTTCTGTATACTTGCTGTTCTGCCAAAAAGGGTTTTGAGGGATCAAAGGATGTGTTTCTTTTAGGAGAGCAGATATAGAATATGTTAGTAATGCATAGTGGTTAAGAGCATAGGTTTGGAGGGAGGGAAACTTGGCCTTGAATACTGGCTCAGACACCACCTGGCTCTATGGCCTTAGCCAAATTATTTAAATATCTCTGAAAGTCTCTATTAATACCTACATTATGAGACTACTATGAGAATTAATTTTTAAAAACACACAAAGAATTTAGCATAGTACTTACATTATACCAAAATTCAGTAAATGTTAGTTATTCAGTAAATGTTGTTATGCATTAAATTCACATTTGTTGCTGAACATTCTATCATATATGCTTTAAGTGTTATGTTATTACAAAATAGTGTTTTGAGGACTATAATAAGTAGTATCAATTAGTAAACATGTTTCTTGCCTGCTAAGTGCCAGGCACTTTACTAGGTGTTAGAGAATCAAGACTGAATTAACTTCTTCCTTTTTCTGAATTTTTAAAATTTAACCTTTCTCCTTGGATTGCTACAGCTCTGGGTTGAGAATATTGGCTGTTACTATTCTTGCCAAGTATACAGAAAACGTTCATCCATGTTAATGGTTATACATTACTAATCAATTATCACTTACTGGATGATTTATTGTTTAATTCCTATTTGTTGACAAATTGGTATTTAGAAGAAGTCATTGGCTAAATAATAAGTCTCTGTACACTTGAAAAGAAGAGAGCTAAGAAATCCAGCTAACAATAGCCTAACCTTCTAAGTGTTTATCTTACTTATGAATAAGACAGCCATAGATCTGCAGTTCAGGGCAAAGGCTTTGGGGTAATATCAAAATCAAGGCTGCTTTGCCATTCTTTATTAGTGGCTTTCATCCATACATTATCATATGTTGCTTTCTAAAGCTCCAGCTGTTCTATCTCCAGTTTTGCCAGTATTTAAAACTTACATAATTTTATTAACCAATGTCACCCCAATCCATTGAACAAAAATATAAAAAAGAAAGTAAAGGACAAAAGGCTCAAGAACCATTCTGGCTGATTCTGTCATTTTAAAAGCTTTCCCAGAATTCTAACTCAGGAACTTGTGTTCACCTACCAACGTGCAAAGCTGAGTCATGGATTTCTCATAGCTGCAAGAGAGTCTGTAATGATGAGTAATTTAGTTTCTTTGCCTCTAGTACAGAAAAGTAAGAGTAGTCTATCTTTGGGCTATTAAACATCAATAACACCATTCTTCCCATTTATACATCCTGGGTGGCATGCACTCATTCCTTCCCTTGGGGAGCCTACTTTAACGCCTCACCCTCTAATCATATCTAGTGATGCCATCATTTCCAACAGGCCCAGACATGGATGCCCCTAAGGTTTAGCAGCCAATATGTTTCTAAGACAGGTTATCTGAACTCCTATAATTTTGAATCATAGAGAAACAACAGGATACATGAAACTAAAGGAAGACTGCTATTTAGGAACAAAGAGAATGGGAAACAAATGGAAATCACTGACTGCTTATTTGATGTACATATCAAATACTGTTGGGAGGAATAGAATTCCCTTGCCCATTATCCCCCATTGCCTCATTGAGGCCTCACTGGAGAACTGTACAGCTTTAGAAGCTGAGTTTTCTTGGATGTAAGTTTCTAGGCCCTAGAAGTATTCTATATATTGAACAGTTATCGATTATTATCCGCAAAGCCTTGAGCTCTCGCAAACTTAGCAGTCCTCCGTATTTGCTTTCTGACAGTTCCAAAGAGAAGTAAAAAAAAAACAAAAACAAAAACATGTCTCTTTCTAGAGGAAAGGCCCCCAGAGGAGTCACCCTCTTTACAGGGCCTTTATAGAATGTTTTGTCAGGTCTACTACTAGGACTGTCATTCTAATTACCAAAGGTGATTCACCACACC